GTTCAGCAGTTTTTGAAATGATTTAGGCAGCCTAGGTTTGTATACACCTTCAAGGTCAAGTACAGTCAACCATCCTACGTCTCTTCTTAGGATTATCTTGTTCAGAAAATTACCTATTTCTCGAGCAGGTATACCTCCTTTATGTGTGCTGAAGGAAATGTAAGACCGGAGACTTCGAATGTACCAATCCGAAGAAGGGTAGTTCTTGATGCTCAAGTATGATGCAAGTCGCCTGACCGGGAATGATGGTTGGTCTCCAGATGAATAATGTGACTTGCAATGGATGTGAAATAATCCTATTTCTGCTGCTGCTTTTGGAGAGAAAACATCATATATGGCACCTGGCATTCTACATGTTTTGGGGATACCATCAGACCTCCAACTTGCAACTTCAATCATGTTCCTGTAAATTAGCTCTTCCAAAAACACTTCTGCCACTTCTCCAGGGCCTAATTCCCCTGAACGTGAGGGTGTCACCAGTCTCTCAGCAATCCATAGCTGAAACATTCTCCTCACAGGAACCTCAAACCCTTTCGGGAACATCCCCATGTAAAGAAAACAAGGCTTCATTCGATATGGAAGTTCTTTATAGCTTAAAGCAAGTATATCTCCATTAAGATTTTCTGCATCCTCAATCACTCTTGACCATTCACTATTGATCAACTCCACCATAGATAAGATACCACCCATCAAGCTAATTAGCAAAGGTAAGCCATCACATAGTTCCAAGATTTTCTCCTTGAATGTGATCAAACTCGAATCCAGACTTCTACTTAAAGTATCTTCAGCTGAACATACCTTCTTTAAGAACAGCTCCCAGCTCTCCTCATTGCTCAATCTGCCCATCTGTAGAGTTGTAGAAGCAAATGCTGCTACATCCGTACTGCAAGTAGTAACAACTATCCTGCTGCCATTTTCTGAGTTTGGGATCACCTTTTGTAACCTTTCCCACATTCCAGGTGCCCCAACATCATCAACAACAACAAGATACCTGTCCTTCCTCAAAACTTCACCCAGTCTAGACACCAATTCTTGCTCAAAAAGGGACTCTTCTGCTTCAGCTAACACCTCATCAACTTGTTTCAGCATGTCAAGCACAACATCTCTACCTTTGACCACATAATTACTAACATTAACCCAGATACAGTACTTAAAATGCTTTTTAATCCTTACCTTTTCATACACCATCCTGACAAGAGTTGTCTTGCCTGAGCCTCTCTCACCCACCACTGAAATGAGTTCATGAGTAGCAGCTTGAATGTTTTCATTAGTGCAAATTAGGTGCTCTTCCAACTTCTTCGCTTGATCACCAAGACCAACAACATCTTTACCCCCTTCTAAATAAGAACTTGCTCTTCTTGTTCCCCGATGCCTTGGATTCAGAATAGTTCCATCTTGTAAGCTTGACCCAGAAATGTTGTTATTGCAACCAGCATGTTCTATCAGAGATATGAATTTCTTGATTTGAACAGTAAACAAAAATTGGATCCAGAAGTCTTTAAAGCCTCTAAAGGGTTGACATATAGTCTCATTGTAACCCCTCAGTTTCCGCCTTTGCAAGAGTAGTGTTCTTGCAAGGAAGGTATCAGCGGCATCTTCGGCAAAGTAAAATGCATGTAGAAGCCTCTCTGTCAGCTCTTTATTTCTTGATACTCTCATAGATTGGTGAAGTACATTGAGCTTGTTGGTTGCTTCCTGTACTTGATTTCTCAAGCTGGGATTGGTAATAGTTGCTTCTCCATCTAGAAGAAGAGCTTGGAATTTCTGTATCAAAAGCACAGCTACCCCCTCGGCATCCATGGACTGATCTCTAGGAGAAAGTGAAAATAAGATGGTACTACAAAATAATCATAGGGATATGGATTTCGCGAGGATATGATAAATCTAATGTATTTGGAGACTTCGTAGCATAGTTTTGACACCCGGTTTGGTTCGATGAGTTAATTTGAAATTTAGTTAATCTAGGGTTAGAATAGGGCTAAATTGAAACTAAAAATAATAATAAAAAATATTTGGAGTAACGGATTGATATAACTTATTATTTTTTATTTTTTATTAAAATGATATTATTTTATAATTTTTTATAAAAATTAATTGAAGAAATGTATAAAACTTAAAATTCGGGTTTTAGATCGGGCTGGTGACCAAACCGATTGAGATAGGTAAAAGTTATTTCAAATATTTATATTAATTAAAAAAATAATTAGTTAATTCCAACTCTCTCTCTTTCTTTAATGAAATCATTTTTTCTATGGTCCAAAAGTTAATAAATTTAAGGGATGCAGCTTGAAGGTTAATACAATGCCAAAGGACCCCATCATCACTTTAATGGAGGTTTGACTTTTTCTTTTGGTTACTGTATCATCTCCTCCAACCGCCCTTTTCATCTCCTTGGCATCTGCGACAGCAAGATTAGTAGGGTTTAGTTCACCATCTTCTTGACCAAACTCTTTTAGATTTCTTCACTAAGCCTCCCTGAGGAAATTGTCTTGTTGGGTTCCAAAATTATACCATCTTCTGCTTCTGCCTCCCATATACGTTAGCAGGATCTCTTTACTTTGAGTTAAACTTGAGATGCAGTGTTAGGCAAATTGGAGAAGAAACAAGGCTAGCTGTAGCAGCATATTTCAAGTTAGTATTAATGCTCTCTTTCTTGTTCAATGATAAGTAAGCTGTCGTTTAAAAGCTTGTTTTGCAAAGACTAATTGTTTATTCACCAACGGCTTTGTAGCTCTAGTTAAACATGCGAGAGATTAGCTGTTCAAAGTACGTAGTTAGAGCATCTCTTCTTTGTCAAATGATTCTGTTTTTGTGAGCAATTTAATGCTATTGATCATGACGAGGAGAAAGGCACTCCAGGTAATTCCTCCAAGTATGAGGGAATTGTGGAGCAAATGGCAACTACGAGTAGTGGTTCTAGCTAGTCTCATCCTTCAAATAGTGCTAATAATTTTTGGCAATCGTAGAAAATACATTTCCAGAAGTTGGATTAGATTTGCTGTTTGGTCTGCCTACCTAGCAGCAGATACTGTTGCTACCATGGCTCTTGGTGTAATCTCAAGTAACTTGGGAGAAATCTATGATGATGATGGTTCTATAGACCCAAATGTTGAGCTGAATGCGTTTTGGACACCGTTTCTGCTGCTACACTTGGGTGGCCCTGACACCATTACTGCATATTCCTTAGAAGACAATGAGTTATGGTCTAGGCATCTCCTTGGACTAGTTATGCAAGCAATTGGCACCATTTACATTATTCTGATGGCCTGGACTGGCTCTCGTCTTTCTGTACTATTCATTCTGATGACTATTGCTGGCCTTATCAAGTTCGGAGAGAGGACATGGGTCCTCCGATCTGCTAGCAATGACCAGCTTAGAGACTCCATGAGGATTACTCGTTCTGATCAAGGTCCTGGAAACTCCAATCTAGATGAGGAATACAAGTTGAAGGATGCTGAAGGATACAATGTGATACCCAGCAAAGTGATTGAGGTTCAGCTTCCTGTAGATTCTGCTGTTTTTGAAGGAAATTCCATCTCCAATGACCATGAATTATTGCTTGTAGCGTATGGTTTATTTCATACATTTAAGGGTCTTTTTGCCGACGTCATACTTGGATCTCGAGATCGAGATACCAGCCAGACTATTTTCAGGAGCATTTCTTATGACAATGCTTATAAACTAATTGAAATGGAATGTGGATTCATGTATGATTTGCTTTACACCAAGGCAATGTTGGTCTACAATCCATGGGGTCTTGGCCTGCGCTTTATCAGCTTCTTACTTACATGCTTTGTTTTGGTACTCTTCTCTTTGACTTCTGAGAAGCAAGACTACTCAAAGGTTGATCTTTCTTTAACTTTCATTCTACTAGCTGTAGCAATTTTTCTAGAGATATACGCAATACTAGCACTGCTTTCCTCAGACTGGACAATTGTTTGGCTGAGTACAAATAATAAAACATCTGCCTTGAAAGTAATCACTTCTCTCTCGCTGTTGCAAAATCCACGGTGGTCGAATTCCATGGCCCAGTACAGCTTGCTAAGCTTTACCCTTAAAGAAAAACCTGCGGGTTGTGTTGGAATCTTAAGGCGCTTCAGCATTATTGAACAGCTAGAACAGCAAAGATATTTAACTAATGTGGAAGTCACTGGTAGTTTAAAAGAATGGATCTTTAATCATTTCAAGAAGAAGCTTAACAAAATTCAACAGGAAACAGAGTTGGGTTCATATAATCTTGGAGCCTTGAACACTGCAAGAGGAAACCTTGTATTACAGAAGTATAGTCATAGTGGACTGAATTGGAGCATTGAGGTAGAGTTTGACAAAAGCATTCTCATATGGCATATTGCTACGGAAATATGCTGCAAATTAGAAGATTCTACAGATGATATCATTCTATCAAAGCATCATATCAGCAAACTCTTGTCAGAGTATATGCTTTATCTTCTAGTCATGAATCCTTCAATGTTTCCAGTAGGGATGGGTCAGTTTGTCTTTGAAGACACTTGTGCAGAAGCTGTGAGATTTTTTAGCACAGCAGGTAAACTTGATGTTCATAGGAACTTGCTTCTGCAATACAACACTGGAGTCCAACAGCCTGGGGAAAGGTACAGATCAAAGAAATCAGTTCTATCCGATGCATGCAGGCTTGCGCAACAATTGGTAGATATTTCAGATAAGGAACAGGTGACTTTCCTTATAAGTCAACCTTATTTATTCATTTTACAAATAAATTTCTTGTTAATTAAGATCCTTACCACCATGGTATAATATATGATATGACAGAAATGGAGCCTTGTTGCTGATGTTTGGGTGGAAATGCTAGCTTATGTTGCATATCAGAGTAATGGAAGACAGCATTCTGATCAACTAAGTGGAGGGGGAGAGTTTCTAACCCATGTATGGCTTTTAATGGCACATTTTGGCTTAACAGAACACTTCCAGATACCACAACGCCGCGAAGTAGCAAGACTGATTGTCAGATAGTCAGTCTACCAAGTCAAAAGAAACTCTCTCAGCCTCTCTATCACTCCCTATTCTCTTCCATCCATCAGTTATAGAACTTCTTCTATGTGTGATATACATGTGTTAAGTTATCCTAATTGACTTGAATTTTTAGTGTAATAGTTAGGGTATATAAGCATGTGACTCTCCAGGACTTGGTGAATATCCTGCTTGTTAGAACTATAGTTCAGCTGGATTCAGCAATGGGGCTGTACTCAAAGGGATCGTCATTTTCTTCTTTCTGTACTAAATCCTAGCCTCCTAGCATGTTGTGTAATTGATTTGACTGGTGTAAAATTTCTTTATCCATCTGATGCAAGAAATGTAGAGGCTAGAGTCCATTGAATCCTGCGAAGTTCCAAGAACTGCATGGAAAGAACGAATCATTTAAGCAAATCTCAGAACATGTGGTTGATCTTATTAGGCCCAAGTCCATGGGCAAAAACAAATGAGAACCCTTTAAAGTAGACAAAGTGGTCTGCTCAGAAACCTCAATCACCAACTTGTAACATGTTATGTGGCCTTTGCATGCGGCAAGTAAACCATGAAACATTGACTGGCCAACTAACAGCATACCTTACATGATTCCGTCTTCTTCTTTTGCTTTCTGTTTCTTCTTGAAGACATCATATTTTTCAACAAACAGTCTCCTTCTTCCAGGTAAGTTTTGGATTATTTTTTTGGCAATTGTCGTGTTTGTTTCCTTCAGTTTCTGTCACACAGATGATTCTATTGTATTGAGTTCTTAGCCCATGTTTTTCCTTGAACTTTGCCCTTTCGGTGGTCGTTTGAATTTGACACAATATATATGAGAGCACTTTGGCTTGAAGGATCTTCAAGTTGCAATCTGAGTGTTCATTCAAAGCTCATTGGTTCGGAAATCACTTCACGACAAAAATAGGTTAAAAAGATGAATTAAGAAATTGTTGCTACGGCAAATGCAAGCGCTAAGAAACAACCAAACTGACCTACAGTGGATGAACGAGGATTACAAAAACAAAAACCATAATTGAAGCAGAGAATGCAATTGCATTATAAGGTCGTAATTGCACGGTCAAATTCATGCAACATGAAGCTTAATAGTACAAAATCTTCATGCAAAGCAACATGGTCGTAATTGCACGGTCAAATTCATGTAACATAAAGCTCAATAGTACAAAATCTTCATGCAAAGCAACAAAAGTCCACACGTCTCCAAATTAACATCAATGAGTAAAATCTCCTTGTGTTTCATACCCATAGCAGTACAAATCAAGTAACATTCTAAAATGAGAAAGGTACTATAGATTTCTCCACCTCACATACTTTTTATTATTATTATTATTATTATCTCATACTTTTTTTTATTATTTTTTTTTACTATTTGTTCATTTCTTTGTTTTCTATTTCATTTTTTTTATTTGTTTTTTCCCACATTTTTTTATTCCTTTTTTTGTAGGCTTTACATGTTTTTTTATTCAAGATTGTCTTTTTTTTTTAATATTAAACTGGTTAAAAATTTAGTATTATAATTTTTTTTTAAAATATTATAGATTATTACAATGTTTTTTTACATAATTTTTTTATGAATTTTTTTTAGAATGGTTTTTGTCGATTTTGCTTCGTATTTTTTTTTAAATACTATGTATTGTTATAATGTTTCTCCATATGATTTTTGTTTTGTTATAGTATTTTTCCACATGTTTTTTTTAAATTATTTTTATCAATTTTTTTAGTATTGAGCTGGTCGAGAATTTAGCTTTAACTTTCCTTACATGTTTTTTTATTTATTTTTTTTCCCTAAAATTATCCCTTTTTTACAATTTTTTTTTTTTATTTTTTCCTAAAATTATCCCTTTTTTACAATTTTTTATGTTTTTTTCAAAATTATTTTTATTGATTTTATTTTTTTAATATGGAATTGGTTGAAAATTTAGTTTTATATTTTTTTCTTTAAACACTATGGATTGCTACAGTATTTTTCTAAAATGTTTTTTCTAATTTTTTAATGATTTTTTTTGTTTTTTTTTCAGAATTGTCTTTTTCAATTTATTATTTTTCATATTGAACTGATTAAGAATTTAGTTTCGTATTTTTTTTAAATACTGTAGATTGCTATAGTGTTCCCCTTATATGATTTTTTTTTGTTATGATATTTTTTAAAATTTAAATACTGTAGATTGCTACATTGTTCCCCTATATGATTTTTTTTTTTGTTATGATATTTTTTAAAATTATCTTTATTGATTTTATTATTTTTAATATTGAGTTGGTTGAGAATTACAACTGTAAATTTCATCATGAAACACTATAGATTGATGTAGTGTTTCTTTGCATGATTGTTTTTCTTTTTTTCATTATGATTGTTTTTAAAAAATTTGTTCATTTATTTTTTAAATATTAATTTAGTTAAGAATTTAGTTTTATAATTTTTTTTTAAAAAATATTATAAATTATACTAATTTTTTTCATATAAAATTTTTATTTTTTTTTATAAATCCATAAAAACACGCAAACATACCAGAAGCCACCCGTACTATCGCGCATGCATGTCATCTGGTAAAATACTTATTTTGTGTGCTCTTGCTATAGGAGGATTGCCGCCATTTATAGTGATATTTCCACTGTTGGAGACATACAATAGTTTAGGCAATTTTCTCGAGGAACGAAGATATTTTCGGAGATATAGTGATACTTTTATGCAATTCAATTTTTTCTTTTTTTAGTCTATGATCCTGATGAACATGACTTTCTTAAGCTAGTAACGGGCTAAACTATTAGCAGGGGAAGAAATTGTGGCAGATAAGAAGCTGCAAACTTCCAAATAGGAACTGGCCAATCCATGGGTAGACCACCTTTCACCTTGCAGTAAATAGTATTGGTATTCTTCTTGTTGGTTTTCAGAAGCAAAATTACTCAAAGATTGATCTTCCCGTAAATTCCCTCCTTCTAGCTGTGGATATATTTTCAGAGAACTACACGGTTCACTATTCCTACTCTCCTCTGACAGGACAATAGTTGGGTTGTGTAGACTTAAATCTGCCTTAAAAGCAACCAGTTCTCTCCCTCCACTTCAGAATTCCCAGTGGCTGAATTCGATGGCTCAATCTTGCTGTCTGCTAAACTTCACTCTTGAAGAAAAAGCTTAAGAAAATTCAATAGGAATGCTTTAAACAGCACAACGGGAAACTTTTTTTTTTTTTTGCGAAAAAACAGTGGTTATAACAGATTGAATTAGAGCACCGAGGTTGAATTTGACCAAAGAATTCTCATATGACACATCGCCTCAGAAATCTGCTGTATTTTAGATGATTCTACAGATAGCTTTCAATCAAAGCATGACACGAACAAATTCTACTCACAGTATCTTCTAGTCATGAACCCTTCACTGTTACCATCTGGGGTGGGTCATTCTGTCTTTGCAGATGTTTCTTGCCAAAGCTATGAGATATTTTGGTAAAGATGACAAACTTTAGTGTAGATTTGCACAGGATTTGACCTATATTTGAGTTAAGAGTTTCTTCTTATTCTGTTTTTTTTTTTTTAAAAAAAATCGAGAACTTTTAAATCGAGAACAAGAGAAACATTGGATTTTATAATAGTAGAAGATTACTGCAAGGTGGCAATAATAAGTTTTTGTTTGTAACGTCTTAGGTGGTCTCGATGTGTGCATGTGTAATAACAAAGACATTCTTGCCGGCCAACAAACGTAACACACTCGAAAAACATTAAAAATCAATACCATAACATTGTTTCCACATTCTTCTGCCGTTTATCCTTGTCTTTTCAACAAGACATCACCTTTTCAACAACATTTGGTCTCTTGGTCCTTCTCTTCTTGTGATTTGATCAAGATGAATGACTTACTCACGGTAAACTTTGTTTCTTTATATATATAACTTTTGTGTTTCGTTCCTTTGTAATTTATTTTTTGTGATCCGTGTATATGGGATTGGAGATGGTAGTGAATTGAGATCTTTAGCAACGTTTTACTTGATGTTGGTGTGTTTTTTGAGGTTTGAATCTATCTGGGTTTGTACTGATGGATTGGCTAGGAGAAGGTTTAGCGTTGCTTTTAGTGTGAAGTTGGCTTTGTTAATGATCATAGACTGAGACATGGTCAAGAATAGCACTTAAGTTCGATTTTTTTTCTTTTTTAGTGGATTTTATTTGAATTTGGACCTTTCTAGGGATGCCCGTGAATGAATTCTGTGGTTTTTGTTTCTAAATTCGGTGACTCAGATGATCTCAAGAAACAAATTTGTTCATCTCTTAGTTTTGTTGTGAGAAAACAGAGGAAAATAAAACTGAATTAAAGTTTTGATTTTGATCTTGTGAATAGAAAATTCAGTGGAAATTTTCTTAACTCTATAGAAGTTGTCATCTTTTTGTTCCCTTTCATCACAAAACTGAACCTTTGTTAACCCAATTATGAAATTTTTGGGTTGGACTTTCCAATTCTTCAGTACCAAAACTTTATTAAGCATCTTTTACCCTGCAATAATTTATCTTTGAGTAACGTTGGACTTCGGTTGAATTTTTCCACTATGAATTTATTGTTCATTGAAAGCTGATACCAGTGTGCTGTTCTTTCACCTTCTATTGAAATGAGAAGTATTTTGTGTTGCCTGTGTTTTATTTCCAGAGTTCGTTTATAGGTGATTCCAAAGGCCACCATCCTATCGATGGTGATATTGAAATGGGGATACGGGGTTCAAGGAGCAACCCTGATATGGGAATGGAAGCTTTCAATAAGAAGGTATTTGACACCATTGTTTATTGTCCTTTGAGGTTCCAAATTCCATGGAAACAAGTCATGTAGGAAGTGTGCATTTCTTTATACACATTGCATTGTTCATCTTATTGTTCTTGTTCTATTTTTGTTTTTAAAATTTTGCTTTTAGTTTACATTTTGCTAATTGCTTCCTAGACTCATTCTTTTGCTCTTAGATACAAGAGGTTGGGAAGCAGCTTGATAAGATTAATGGGCTGCTAAAGAATCTGAAGGTAGGAAACCATAGTTCCTTTATAATATGAAGTCAGGTTTTTATAAGCAATTTCCTGGAATGTTAGACGATTAATCACGTTGGATCGCGGCAGGAAGATTTATGTGCTGTGGTTCTACTGTAGTGAAGCGGCATAGTCAGATAATTTTATGGTGTCTCCTATCTCTATTTTTGTGTAGAAGATGGGGTATTTGCTTTTTCTTTTTCGTGATTTATGAGTGGATTCCACTATGGGTATGTTGTTTCACCATTATATTTGAGTTGAAACAATAATCAGAAGAAGGGGACTCGACTGATGTGCATTTCAATTCAACTTGGCATTGCAGC